GGGGGGGGGGGGGGGGGGGAGAAATTGCCATCCTTAGAGGAAGAACTTGATAGATGGCAGACAGGGGGATGATCCCGTCAAACGATTCAATCGGCTGACAGTTTAAATATTTGCGAAAATGAAAAAAAAAAGTGTAAAACATATAAAAGCTCAGAGGGGATGTTACCGGAAGGTGATTAAATTACTTACTCATACTCTCGTTAAAACAATGTCAGCCGGTACGGCAAGGTAGCAACTTCCATGGCAACGGTATTCAGGTGGAAAGAGCTTCTCCCTTGTTAGCATTTAATTGAGAACTTTGCGAGATGTAGGTCTGCACGTAACGACCGACCGACCGACGGCCTTGTTTAAATATTTTAATAATCTCTTGTATTTTGTATAGGAATTGAAATATTCGAGCGCTCTGAATCCAGAAGGAGCGAAGCAACCTGCCAAACCTGTAATTCGCACCCACACCTATCTTCGTTCTAACCCTATCCACCCTTAGTATGTACTCTCTCAGTTACTCGCTTACTCGTTAACCAGTCTCAGGCCCTCTATCTCTTATCTCGCGACAACGCGATAAAAGCGTTACACAGATTGCTCGGATGCGAACGTGGCTTAAGGTTTCTTGCTAGGAGACGCCCCAGGGTGATGCAACCGCAGTGGCAGCTGCAGCTGCAACGGACTCGCAAAACTTCTCTGCCTGGAGAAATACACACAGTTAAGCACTAGGGGAATCGTAGAGTAAGTAAATGAGAAATAAGGATCCCATGAGAGAGAGGGAGAGAGAGAGAGAGAGAGAGAAGGAGAGGAAATTACTAAGGTAAAGCTGTATTAGGTACAGAATAGAAAATTTGTAAAATTTAATTTAAAATCAATTTTCAGATGCCTATTGATAGTTAACAAGAGATATTGAACGATGAAAAATTGATCAGGACCATCTAACAATTTTCAGAAGCTTATACCAAGGATCTTTTATGATGATAACAAGGTATTCGTTCGTTAATTAATTATTTATTAATTCAGATCAAACATATCAATCTGTCTAGACAACATTGTATGCCTCGTCGATCCTTTAGACATCTTAACAATTTCTATTTCCAAATTGCTGTTTTGGTAAATATCTTGGGAATCGTGTTTCAGAGCAGCTGCATTGCGACTGCGGTGTGTCAGCCATCTCCGCACAGGATTGCGGCTTGGACTACATGTTTATATAACGTCCACGAGTGTACACTGTACAGTAGCTACTCTGCCTGTTTGGTGTTTGCAGTTACTCAGTGCAAGAGACTGTATTGTGTAAGGGGAAGACACTTAATGAATGCCGGCACGTGGCTACACATTACCATCCCCCGTGATGATCATTTGACGCAAAGTGCATTGGAATGAATTGAGACACGCCCTATGCAAAAAATTGTTCTAATTATACATAGGTCATTTTTAAAAAGTTTAGTCAGTAGTAGAGTAATTGGATTATAGCCAGACCGGTAGCATGGGGTTGGGGGCGTATTGAGAAATATGAAGCAAAGTCATTTGGGGTGGAGAAGTAAAATCGGAAATGAAGGGCGAGAACTTTTTCGTCGAACGTTCTCCTGGAGTGGTCGATGGGTGGGGGGGTTAAGGGTAGGTGACACGGTTTCACCATTATCGGGTGTTTACGATGAGGGATGTAGGGGTGTACGACGACGAGGCACGAGGGTCGCATCGTCGGAGAGCTCACCCGCTCCGCATAATAACTAGCTACAACGCATTTACATTTTAATACGACCCACCTACCTCCCACCAACCCTTTCCTGCAATTCCCTTCGTGTACCTTCGTCTAACTCCGTTGTATCCTGAATGAGCTGCTATCGATACCTGGGGGATCTGACCATTTAGAATTCCAACACCATCCGAAACTGTAACCCATACAGGGTAGTTACAGGGTTCATTGAACACCCATCCTGTTCACCAGGTCCAAGAAACCTTCTAGAAGTTGGTACAAAAGAGGCCAAAGAAGTCCAGTCGTTTAACGACGCGCCATTTTTATTTTGCCCTCAATGTCGAAGCTTCGAAGCCAATCGATCTAAGAAATTACTCTACGACCCTTACAGACCCTCAGGAGCCTCCCCTGGGTGCCTCTCGTCAGCTACTGGCCGCTACGATCCGAAACAATCGGGCCGCTCCCGACCGTCGGCCATTCTATGATATATGACGTCATTATAGTAAGACCTTGAGAAACAGATGGGTTCTACCTTCTTCATCCAGGACGTCGAGTACACGGATTTCATTGAGGACATCTACGAGGAACGAGTGTACAAAGGATTTCTGAATAGTAAAGTAACCAGCTGTAACCGGAAGTGGAAGGTGTAATCGGAACATGGAGAACGAGCAACCTGAGAGCCAGTGGGAGATGTCCATTAAGATAGGCCGATGTGTTTAACGGCGAATTCAAATGTCGACGACGATGTTCCCCAGGGTGAGGCGAGGGTAGGTACTCGACGCCAGAGAGAAAATATTGCAATTGTTTCGGAGGCGTGTTTTATGGGGTTTTTGTCAGCAAATAAAATGCCTACGGTCTGACTATTTTCCCCACGATGCCCTACTTCACTTTACCGGGATTGTAACATTTACAAAAGATATAGAATACCTATAATGTATATGCTATATATGACATAGCTATAGTCTGTAACGTAGATATATAATAAGAGTACAGTGTAAGGCTACGCTGTACTATATAGTATATAAGCCAATAAGTCCTCTATACGATATAGAATATAGTATAGGTGTACAGGGTATATTATATTGGTGGGAGGATCGAGCATGGACTACAGACTACGTAGAAGGGTCGCTAGATATAATGGTGATTTATTAGGTGGGGAATTCCAATTCGCCATTGATTTACGGCTTTACGGAATCGCGTAAATATCTTCAATTTCCCACTCCAGGCTGTTCGACTTAAATGGAATTCGCGAATCATTGAGACACTTGACACTCCAGACACGAAGATCCACGTTAGAGCCTGAATCTTGTCGACGAAGCCATTTTCGAGTCCTCAATCGAGTATTTATCAAAGTTCCAGCCCCAGTCGCTGGAGCCCCATTCTTTTACGTCCTATGCTAATTATCCGCACCATCGACTTCAGGAATGTCCTCCTTCACTTGCCAGGACGAAATTACTCCAGGATGACTAGTGGATGTCAAACTACCCTTCCTGTACTATGGATACCCTATATTGGTAAGGATCTCGCGCAGACTGGGCAATGTTCCTGGCAACCATAAGTAAGCAACGGCAACTGGGAGACGAGACGCTCTCCTTCATGAAAATATTAGTCTGACAACTGTGAGTTATGCCCGGGCAAGGTATTATTCCGAACAAGGGATGGCATGGCCGCTATCTGATTCTGTTATCTCGGCGCCGTATGCTATTCTGGCTCCGTGGCGAAATAAACGGCCCGTAGAATACTTATTCTTGAGAATAGCAAGCCAGTAGAGGATATCCTGGGTCCCGTTCATCAGGTCCATCAAGGAGTCCAAATTGGAATTTTGGATTCCTAGGTTTACCCTGTTACCCTTAAGCTTCTTACTACTGTCCTTGGTCCAATTGTGGTACGACCTTATTTGGGATAATAAAAAAGGATGACTGTGCCGAAGACTAAGGGGTGAATTGTCCCCGTGAGTATTTCTGTATGACAATATTATGCTACCATTGACTCTTTTTTAGTTTTCTATTCTCTGTTATATATACGTCTAGGTCCTATTGGGTATGGTAGCACGTGCACATAACTCAAGCTAGGATCAAGGAAGAGGACCCACCCAGGAGTCTGCTTAATACCCACAAATTATAAATAATGATGCAACGAGGAATAGCACTGCCACAAATCAACGTTTACCGTAATTCCTTTGCCTCTTACGCTCCTGGGATTAAGCGGTTCTCGCAGTCTGCTGAAAAGAAAGTAAAATGAGTAAAAATGGGTAAGAGCAGCAGCCACTGTGCGGTTACCGTTAGTTCTGCAACAGGAATTCTCTTCTCCTCTTAATCTCCTCCATATTCTCTGGTTCGCAGGATATTCAAAGTCCAAAATGGCCATCGTTAATGTCCCGGAGTCGAAAAGGATTTCTGATGGCTGCGGCAAGTCTTCGCCAAGGAGATAACGGAAGGAAAAGTCCGAAAATGACATCGAATGTTCTTGCGATGCCTTTTTACGATAACGAATGTCTCCAGAAGACCTCGGCGAGGTCGACCCCGTCTTCCACGTCCCGCCAGTGGTCGTAGACGTTGCTAAGTTTTCCCAAAGTGGAGAACAAGGCCGTCAAACAGATTGAAATCAACGGACGGAGCGAGCAACTTCTTCTTCCTTTGGGAGAGGACGGAGCCAGATCTGAAATGAAAATCTGCGGGCAAGGAGGGCCTGGAGAATTGCTCGAGGAAAGCTATTGTTCGTAGGCCGAAGAAGAAGCTGAGTCTCGAAGGAATGAACGGAACAAGGAAAGAATAATTCCACAGAAGAGGGTTTCAGTCCCATTTTCTGGAGTTCAATCTATTAGCATCTTCGCTTCGCTGTTTCTACCCTTAGAAAGGAGCCTTTAAAAGGCCATCATCAGAGGTCAGTAGCAACTTCTGATAATTTACTAAAGAGCTCAGTACTACTAACAAGATCAGTAAGAGCCTGTACAGCTACCAAGAATAACAAATTTACTAAATTTCCAGAAAGCAATTCAAGAAAAAGAAATTCAATCATTCACCATCAATTTCGCGATTTCTCCACGTGGCTGATACCAATCCCATTCATGCGGTCGCTATGTGTTCACTGGGAGATTACTGCAGTGAGAAATATATAATAGAGACGGTGACATGGCGAGGCGATAAAGCGTAATGCCAACCTAGGAAGAGGAGAGGTCGGCTGTTGGCCAGGAACGCGCTGGATGTAGGTACCTAATTCATGTTTGATGATCGTACCGCACGTACTACACATCCCGCACGTCCCAGGAGGCTGCGATATTGCGCTAAACCGAGCAATTACTGCCCGTAATCTGGCTAATAGAATTCCAATATGTGTGCCAATTGAACGCAGTCTAGGTGCAGTGGACTAGCAGACTAGGAGTCGAGCAACGGAGCAGGTGAGCCTAGCTGGTACGCGCGACTGGGGAAAGCCCTGACATGGTTCCACCATTAACCACGGCCACGGGGCTCACCCTGAGCTATAGTCAGGACTTTCGGGGTGAGTCTAGAGAGCCTGATGTCAGGGTATACAGATGCTAGGAGAGAATGATGGAGAAAAGGGAAAGGTAACAGGATCCCTCCTGCCCCCCTCTCTATGTATCCTCCATATGCACTGTATATACATATTTATTGTCCAGCTATCAGAGGCTACACAAGGTACACACACCATACATGCAGTTATAGGTACGTTCCTGCGAACGCATCACCCCACTTGACACGCTTTTACCATTATGCTCTGTTTATAGTACATATAACGCATCGGGGATAGAAGTGTCTACCGTTGTTAACGGGAAAATCCCAGCTCAGCCTCGGATGGTCCTGCGCACGTCCTCTTCCTCCAGGATAGAAAAATCTCTCGTGTGGAATGGGAAACGGCCTAACCTTCTATTTGCCGCGTGTCCTTGCTATAGATGGAAAAGAAATCAGATATAGGAAAGCCCTCTGGTCGACCCCCTGGCCCCCTCCATCCCAGGGTTTAACATAATCGAATAACAAATAGCACGGAGATGTGCATCTGCTCCGAGGAGAGAGAACAAAAGAGAAAGAGAGAATTCAGCCGGCGATGCCTACGTGAGTGTACTCCGGGACTCGCTCACTTTCACTCGGAATTGAAGAACTGAAGAAGAGAGTGCAGCAGTGAGTACCGTAGAATCGAAGAAATGCTAAGAGCTGGAAGGAGTATGCGAAGGAACGCGACATTCGAGAAAATTGGCAAGGAAATACGTTTCTCCCAGTGATATTACACGCTTCTACGGAATCCACGTCCGAGACTGAGAATGGACTCTCGTGAGGCTGATATATATATTTATACCTACGTCATATATTACACCTACGACTTATCTGTGAGAAGGAGAGACAAAGAGAGAGACTCAGCATGCTCCTGGCGACATACTACTATCTATGAAGCAGGAAGAGCGATTCTCTCTCTCACTCTACATAGCTTGAATCCTCAATAGAGAAGTGGATGGGGATGCTGAAGGGTAGGCAAGGGAAATGGTTGTCGGTGCTGGGAACTCCGATACGAAGATTGGGTTAAATGGCGTGGGATAACCCCTCGTTACGCATTCATAGAAACTCTTCCACGACTGCGGCTACCTAACTTGACGCCGTATGTATATGCTATATATATATATAGCATACGTATATATAATTCCGACAGAGTTGGCCAGCGCAATGGAAAATATTGCGCGCAAGGCTATAGATGTTATTTTCCCCTTGAAATTATTATCATTCTCCAGCGCGATGACCTCATTCAGGGTATCAGGAGTACGAGCGAGACGAAAGGAAGGTGCAGGCGCCAAGCGTAATCGGTTCGAGTAGAAGTAAATGGCAATTGAGGCAACCGACGGTGGATAATAAACGGGCCTCGGTCTAAATGTGGGACGATCCCCAGGGCGTTCTTGGAAAATTAAAAAAAAAGGAGCCTCACTGAGCGACGCTCGGTCCTGTACAGGGTACACCGTGGAAGAAGAACGAGGAACATGAGGATGACCAGACGGGAAGTTGGAGGGACGCAGAGAAGGACCAAGGGGAATGAAGTGGGGGCGGGGAAAGGATGAGGTCGCGTCTCGTTAATTGAACGGAGGGTGCGATGCCGCGAACGGCAAGGATTCTCAGCAAACCAAGGGTAAAATGAAGGCGAGTCCTCGACCACAGAATTGCCTCAATCTCGTCGACCTGAAATGCGAGGTCCTGTTGTTCCCGATGTTACGGGACATCGAGGACGACCGTCCCCCCTTCAACGATCAGCGTCGACCCACTCTCCAACCCTCATCTGCACTTCTCCATTGCGTTCTGGGAGCCAGAGGAATTTTTATTGTCATTTCGTACCACAATCCTTTTCATTAGAATTTACTTGTATGTATACACAGAATGGGCTATTTTATATATGTATATATATATATATTTGTGAAGTGTGATTTTTCGACTCACGGCCGCAAAGCGACTCCAGCTACCGATTTAGATAGTCTAGATGTACCGAGTTTTTCGGCAGAGGAGAGGACCCGACGGAGACGTCTCCGCGGACCGACGCCCCGCTGACGATAGGCACAAAGGGCTGTAGAGCGGGAGGAGATATAGTCTTGTTACGGTTAAGGGCCGGGGAGAAACACCCTGACCCAAGTTCAGGATGTTGAAGGAGCCGTGGAGGATCTCCAAGAGTTACGGACCGATTCGCTAAGGAATGCTCTCGATTTAGTTTAAAGGGACGATTCGAGGGAGAGGGTAAGGGTTTACACGCTATAAGGATTTCGACCAATCAAAATGTTTAGTTCTCAAATTTGACTATTGTCAAGCTGGTTCGCGCTCCCGGACTATTTGTTTATAGTTTTTATAACTCTGTTTCCTATACGGTACAGGTGGATCTCGAAATATCCAGAAAATTCTATAGATTCTCTGAGTGTGTTCCGGAGGTGTAGTGTTGTGCCCACGTGAGTGTCCTCTGGATACGGTTCTCGGCCTTTTCGGATTAGCTGCACCAGCTCCGGTGAGTACTCCGAATATATTAATTGGTGAAGGGATTTCGATTTGATAATTCCGTTACGTTCTCTATCCGTTGCCCTCTGTTTTCGGCACTATTTACCTAACGCTTACTCCGACCTTCTCTACCTCAGCCCTTGCAGCCTGAGCGGCCGTGCATTTCCGTAACCGTTCATTCCAATTCGTGCATCCAGTCGAGTTTGCTGATTTCGCGCGTCCCCAAAAATCGACACGACCCGTTAAGCTACCGTCTCTTCTGCTAGGTTTCATCGGAGCTCTCGTTTTGCCGGAGTTGAGACTGTTCCACCTGAACTCCCAGGTCATACCGGCTCGTCAGTTCCCGGTTGAAACAAAAATTGGCTGGTGCCCGTCTGGCATGCGGATGCGTGGACGAAGGGTGGACGGTCGAAGGTGACGTAGGTTACCTCTCGGATTTTCGGTATCGGTGTAAAGTTGCGAAAATACGTTACGATGTATATAAAAGTTTTCTTATAAAGTTTAAATATTTAAGCCACTCAGAAGGGCGGCGACCAATTTGTTCCCAGTCGTTCCCATTGTGCTTGCTTTGAATCTTCCGTACCAGTGACGTCACCGGAGTGCACAAGACCGAAAGTACATCAACCACTGACTCCGTCTCGTCTATTATCCCTATTCCAGTACTACTGATATGTACTAGTTCCAGTTGTATGGTGGCAACGTAGTACTACCGCGAAAGGTCCAAGCAGTTCCACGTGAACGTACTCGTAACCTGCAGATAGAATCCCCAGTATCGAGGTTCGCTAGAACGAACACGTAGATAGTCATCCGGGTATTTCTCGAGAAACTAAAGTAATTTCACGGAACCGCTAAACGTAAACAGCCGTTAGGAGGGTTTGCCCGTAGCGAGTGTACGAGACATTTTCGAGGCTGACGCCGACGTCCTAACACTGCAAAGGGACAAAAGGGTCCGAGGAAACCTTTGGGTTTCCCTTTATCGTATATTTGAGGGAGAAAATGGCCACGTGTATAAGTCGTTAACAGCAAGAGACTAGGTACTTCAATACCTTCCCCTGCCTCCTATGTTTCGCCCTTCATTCTTACTCCCACCGAAATCCACCTTCTTCGTTACACACTCACCCTTATACTTAACCTTTGACCTCGCGCTGCAGCACGTGCCCACGAATCAGCCCTACGTAATTTTTAGTTTCATTAGAGCTCAGCGTGGAAATATCACGATTTTCAGTAAGCCGGAAATATGACGGCTAAGGCTGGTAAGTGGAGGAGTCGGAGGAGAAGGTAGTAAGCGAAAAGTCAAGAAATAAGAAAAAGTCGATATTTCCGAGAACTTAAAAATTAACGATACTTTTTCGAGAACCTTTGGCATTCTCGGCACAGGGAAATGGATTTCACGGTATCGTAATCCTATTATACCCCCCGGCTCCCGCCAGCGTCCCCTTGGACCAATACCTTTCTATATTAATAATAACAATAATCAAATCGAAAACGAACATTTTCAATCTAACCTCAGAACTCGGAATTCTTAATACTTTTTGTCGATTACTCAAGCTCTTCATTGGTTTAGCAACCTTTTATTTAGCTTCCTAGAGTATTTCCCTTAATACGATCAGAATGATGGTAAAAGATCTCATCCCAAGGGTGGCGGTATATCCGACAATGGATATTACGATTGCTGGAACACGGTAGAGGCGCATAAAGGAATGATAGTTATTTTTATGAATAGGCAGGGAATATAAAAGTAATAAGGAAAAGAGCAATGGAGAGAGAAACCCTTAATCTCAACTAATTTCCAAGTAATAACGATCCAATGGGTGTCTTTAGTATTTTGATGATTGAGGGGCTGCAGGGAGAAATCCTGTTTCCTGGTTCCTGGCCTCGTTGCTTGATTCTACTCCAGGTTTCCCCAAGTCGATATCCCAGCTCCCTCGTAGTAGTCCCTCGTTAATTACTAAGGGCTGGGTAATGAGTTTTATTTTTAAGAGGGAGCACAGTGTCTTTGAAGCGTCTCAAAATTCAGTCCAGATTCTCAAGGCAGTAAACAGGTTGTTTAGGTTGGGATAAGAAGACAGATATGGATATATAGAGGCGGAATCCAGTATCCCGGGGGGAAGAAAATATAATGGACCATAACTCAAAGTCGCGCCACTCATTCAAAGACGTTGTATTTTGTCAGCATCCTAAAACCCTTTACATTAAAAAGCATAGAACGACGGGTACCCTCTACCCCGCTTTGTTCGTGACAAGCGACGAGATGGGAGAAAAATGTACGATATCGTTTCGAATAAAAGGGATCTGTTTTTTTTTTTAAATCCAATTTACAAGTATTTACTCTCCATATTGTCACTGTATATTTATGTCCGGGACTGTATTATAATTTATTAATGTACATGGAGAAAGTTTAATGACATTAAGTTACGCAATCAATCTTTCGACATAATGCTACCCTGTCTGCCAATCAGACTTTCCGAATTTCCGACAATTTACTGCTGAATTGCTTTCGATTTCTCTCCCTCTTTCTCTTCTGCTTCTGCGCCAGTCGGACGATGACGCAGTCACTGGGTTATTTGTAGGACGGGTCTGTTTTGAAAGATTTTTCTTCGATCTTATGGGTTTTTTTTTTTTTTTTTTTTTTTTTTTAAATAAAAAATTGATGAGTTCTTTGACGCTACTTTGGAAAATGGCAGCTTCGTCGCAATGTTACTTCACGAAATGTAATTACGAACGTCTTGCAACTCGTTGAAATTGAAGGGTGCACTCTCGGTTTGCGTAATAATCTTAAACGAGCGCGTTAAATAACGGCTGGAGGTTTCAAAGTGGTAGCTCGTGGGTGGTAAGGAGAGAAGGAAGTAGGGAAAGAGACTGGATGGATGCTGAAGAAGTGAGTGAGGAAGTAGGGAAAGAGAGTGAAACGGAAAAGAAAGTAGAAGAAGGAGAGAGGAGGAACACCCTACTTTCGTTTCAGACAATAACAATTGCGCTCGTTATTATCCTCCGTTTTGTATGGAAATTTGTAAAATGGGAAGTGGTGGTATACATTGGCTGTACATGTAGAATACGTTTGAGAGGATAAGAAGAAAGGGAGAGAGAGAGAGAGAGAGAGGGACGAAACAGAATTACTGTAATCTACAATGAAAAATCTTGTCGTTCGTTAGATGAGTTTTTACCAAGAGAAATACTTTTGAGCTGTGTCGATTCCAGATTTTCATTGTTGGAAATATACGACAGGGAATTGGACATATGTGACTCCAAGGTAGATTGCAATTTCTGTATATAGGATTATTGATCTTTCTGTACCGTAAAATAAATTGAATGTCCATTAATTTACCGATTACATTTAATTGCCACGAGTTAAATTGTTGTCCCAATTAAAATCGACAGGACGGGGATGGCTCATTAGAATTTATTGTTTGGTAATTGGACTAACTGTTTATGCAGCTAGCGTATCGCGTCGACAAATGAAAATGAAAACTTGGTGAAAATAGAGGAGGCGACATTCCTGCAGAATCGGATGAAAGTTGGCTGGTTCATCGATTACTTCCATTTTAATTGTCCGAGTTGATTCCACACCATGGGCAGATGTTATTTTGATTTTTGGAGCAGCAGATAGAGCGAGAGAAAAAAGAAGACATAACAAATGAATAATAGCAAAGGCAAGACTGTTTTGTGAGAGGACGTAATAAGGGTCAAAGGTATAAAAGCTAGGATGTATAGGACTAGAAATGGGGTAAGGCAAAGGGGACCGATGAACCTATAGAAAGAGGCTGTATATCAGGAGGGAGAATTGAAATTCACAGGAAAGCAGTGCAAAACCCGGCAAAGCGTTTTCTCCGCAAGAACACGAGCATTATTAGCCAATTTAGCATATTCCCGTAGTTACACTTTTATATTAAAGGAGAGAAGGGCGTAGGGGAACTTTCTTCGGCTCTGCATACATCTGAATACAAATGCACGTGTTATTCGCCACCTGGCGCCTTCACATTTTTACAACCCCCGTTCCAGTGCCAGCAACTCCTGGAGCATAGAAAGCTGGAGGAGCTTCAGTAGCGGGAGGGCGACAGCTTTCAGTAACTCTCAAAGAAACGAACGTCTGATATTCAATCTTGGGAAAATCGCCATCCACTGAGCTCCAAATCCCAAATCGGTCGTACACGGTGAATATTTAGTTGGCTTTACGTAGGAGTCTCATTTGCGAACTCATAATTCTCTGGATCCGCTGGTACCGGAGGTGGTTCCAGTGGTATTGGGACGCTGACGTCACCGAGCTCCAATAACTTGAGTCTCACTTCCATGTCCACAATGGTTTCCACATCGTCCCTGAAGGCAAGGCTCTCAACGTTGCGACCTGAAAGGTGTCGAGTAACGATACAGAAGTTATTCGTGGGTCAAGGTTAACCAATAAAGAAATTTAATACCTAAGAGATAGTGTAGGGCGTCCGTCCATATATGGTAGATCTCCCGGGTTGGGGCGATGAAGTCCAGTGAACCTCCTTCGTAAAGGAGCGAAAAAAATAACGCATCCTCTATGAATTTCCGTCCCTTGGAGTGCGGACATCGTTTTCTGGTTGCGAGGCCAGTAGCGGAAGCTATGCTGATTCGTTTCTGAAGACTCGCATAATTATGTACATCCGCATTCCAGTCGCCGTAGATAATAGCGCGCTCGTCCTCAGATAAATGAGCGAACCACCAGTTTTTCGCTTTCTGCAAGAATGTTGATACAAAATGTAGGATTAAATTTTTCAACCAGGATCCTTGGTCAGATGAAATAATAAATTATTTAATTAATCATCCCATACCTTCAAAGTGTCCAAATTCCTTGGGAAAGTATGTCCAACCTTGATGGCGTTCAGTCTTTGCAAAATTACCAGCCTCTCCGCTTCCGGTCGTACACTGTTCCGTATCTCGAGGACACTAGGATGTTCCTGGAGTACCAGCTCAAAAGCATCATTTCGTTCCACCATCCAAGCATCCTGTATCTTAGCTGCACTGATGTCACGCAAGGTGTCAGCCAAGTTGTTCAAGGTAGTGGATCTAGTAGCAAGAGCGTCTTCCAGCTGACGACGTAGAACGGAAAGGGCCACATCATGATCTGCAGGTTCCCTGGCCTTCAAGTCACGTCGAGTACGGCCCAGGGTCCAGACAGCATGGCAGAAGAGTTCCTCGAAGAAGGGATCCCGCGCAGCGAAGAAGATGGGACTGAATCGATCCGAGGTCTGACTGTGTCTAATACCAATATGTAAAACTTCGCATAAAATCTTCACGACGTCCTGAGCTATCCGGGTTATCCCTAAGGTTAACTCAGCCTCCCCCACAGCCAGAACATAACTATCGCGATAACGATTTGAAAAATATTTAAGACAGTCAAGCGCCAAACGACTCACCGGAGCACCGTCGCTACTGAAGCTGCGGGAAAAATGTTTTCTCAAGGCGGGAATTGGTTTGGCCGTAGGCGTTGGCGACGACGGCATATATTGCGGTTCGCAGCCATCGAGACTGATCGTCCAGGATAATCTGGTGGATGATTGACTTGCGGATAAAGATCCTAGATCAGCTAGAAGCGTCTCGGTGCTGGCTGAACGCCAGGATATCCTAGCTGGTTTGATGTCCTCCAGGTCGCAGGATTCTATTTCATCTCGTTCGTTCACATCGAGCATATAATTCAGGACTAACGTCTGCAGTACATGCAGCTGATGAGCCAAGTCGTACTCCAACTGCTTCTGACCTGATCCAAGCACATGTCTGAATATTATCCTACGTGCCTTAACTGTTGATAAAATTTGTAAATCATTATTCCTTCGTTCAGATTCTGCTGAGAGTAACAGTCCGTTCACCATGCCCAAAATGGCAACCTGAACGCCAGGTGATCTTCCTGCAATCAAGTTCAGGGTTTCCCAAGTATTCAATGCTTGTCGCAAGTACCGAGGGTGTTCGTCGTCATTGCCATTAGCAAGTATGAGACACCCTATAGATAACGCTTCACGTAGAGCACTGCTTTCACCCGGACCAGCAATTTCCGCTACCACTCTGTCCAGTCCTAGAAGTCTCATTTTCTTCAAGTGGCCATGCTGCATCGAGAGTCTCAGACAAGCAAGAACCGCAGTGGTTTCAGTTGAACCAGCAGTTCGCAATATATCAATAATCAAGTCGGTACCGCGGATCTCAACGAAGCATCGTGCGAATTCGGGATCCTCGCATGCAGTAGCTAGTTTTGTAATAGCAGCTTTTCTCCGTAAACCAGGACCAGCGTCCCGAATGGCATCTAGAAGAATGTTTGCAGTTGTCTTTGCCGAAAAGACCAGCCGTAATTCAGTCCCGTTTAAGACCTGATCAATCAGATCGGATGTGACGTATTTATTTGCCAGGGTAGGGTCTTCAGCCTTTGGCGATGGTCTGGCGATCTGAAGAGCGTATTTATCCGATTCCGTAGAGAGACCGTGAGCCAAGCATAGTTCTTCTATTATTTGTTCCAATGGATGACTCCTGTCGATTTTCGCCAAGATCTGCTCCTCGCCAATCGCCACGGCGACGGATACTATCGTATCCGTCATGACGCGCGTCCGTCAGCTTACCTTCGTATGTAACGTTCTTCGGTGTAACCCATGTACGAGAGTAACGATGGTTAATTGAGTTTGGTAATATTAAAGCGAAGCAATACCTGTGTACTCCGGTCTAGCTGAGGTCTGACTACTCTAGTTATCAAAAAGATACTGATAAGCAGGCGTAACGAGAAGCGCCGTTTGTGGTTATATCAGTTGCTCGGGGAAGCGAGGAGAACTAAACTGACAATAGCACTGCGATAACGCTTCAGTACCTTATCACTAGCTTGCTTCAATTAACGTGCACTTACACCGAGAAAGCAGTTTCGCTGGATTCATCCAACACACATTTACACAATGTAAATGAGTTTGAAGGCTGTAAGCGATACTTATTTTGATGGCTTAGTAATTATGTCAAAAATTTGTTTTTATTAACACAAATTATAGACTTTTTTATTATTATAAATTGATATTTATATCCTTGCTGCCAAGTTTAGTTTCACGAAAGTATTATAGGTATTATTGATTCAAGCTTGTTTTCTTCTGGGCATAGGTGTATAAAGGCTTTTAGGATCGTTGCTCTAGGAACTCATTGCTTGTTGGAGTACAGAGAGACAGAGTACAAGGTGAGTAAACTGAGAAGATATTATGTAAAAGCTATGTCATCTTTATTTATTTTAAAAAGTATAACGATCAAATATCGTCACCATGTCTCAATTCATGTTCATGAAAAACTCACAAAACAATTTTATTCTCCTCCCACGGTCAACAGTGTAGAATGTGCTTATTGGCTAGTTGGTGGAGACCCACCGTTGTCATATTGGTTCTTGTTTCTTAATAAGTAACCCGCTAGGAAGCTGATGGGATCAGGTGGTCTCTCCTTGGCTAGGCTCGATAGTGCCTGCAGCAAGATGGGCACTACGGTTTGGTCTAAGTACTGCCTGGTAGGTAATGATTGAACCTCGACTCGAGCTTTTTTAGGAGGCACACCCGACAGATCCGAATCCTTGTCCATGGATATTACTTTCTGGAAACAGAACGTATCCCTGTCCACAGATGCTAGATGATGCTGGCTTCTTCATTCTCCTCTGTACATTATACCTCCTGGTACTTACTCCTCGACATTCCTACTGTTAATCTAGACGTTTTGCATTAAGCGTACAAGCGGTGCAAGTCATTTTGAGCATTACCTATCCCACTCGACCAATGAACATTGATACACAAGAAAAACATTCTGTACGCAAAAATCTGAATATACAGCTTTTCGAGTACTTTGAACTTTAAAATTCTTCAATGACGTCTTAATGACAAAATCGCGATTAGTAACAACCATGATAAACAGGGACACGTAAAGGTTAGTTTTAACCAAAAGAACAATGGTTCATAATACGGACCCAAAATGTAAAAGAAATCAATTGATCACGTTACATTAATTAAAAAAATGCGTGAAATGGTAAAAAGATCGTCATGAACAAGCTTGGACTTACACCGCTCGTACCCCAGGCCCCATAATCCAAGGTGGTCGAGAAGGTGTTAGGTTATCTCCCTTACGTGGGCTGTTTCGGACACAACATTGGCGATGGGTTGAGCTGCTACTGCTTCAGTCCTTTCGTCTGTTGTACTTTCTATCATAAAAGTAAATTGATATGTTACGAAGGTACTTGCAGAATTTTATTGAACGCGTAAGGATTAACAAGAAAAATAAAAGTGAAAAATACAGAACATACCACCACCGGACGCCATCGTATCGATCGTATAAACAAACAAGATAGTCAACCAAGCGATGGGATTATGAAAAGTACAAGCTGTTGCGACCGTTGCAAGTAGCAACAACGTCCACGAAGCACACGTGCGCAAGCGATAACATTTCATAAAATTATATCCAGCGCCAGCGTAACTTGTGTTTCTCATGAGAAGTTTGTACTTGATTACTTTACCGATTCGAATAAAGTCATTTTCGTACATTTACAAGTTGAGTTTCCTATCTTGATTAAGTTCAAGGAAAATTATGACGATAGATGGCAGCACATGAACGTTCTACAAATTATATTTCCTTTCAGATCTGCTGCACGTTCACGTGCGGCATGTGGACAGCTTACATTGTCTATTTATTAAGTTTTGTGAATATTGTCAAGACAAGTAACTAAAAATGGCTTTGTATAATTTTAAGAAAATTGCAGTCGTCCCTACTGCAAAGGTGAGTTCTGTTTTTTTACGTTAATTAATAACTGGGCTTAATTGCTAGGTTATAATCATGCAGCTTGTACTGCCTACATGCTATAATTTTCGTGTTTACAACTTTAAATAAATAAATTGAACTTAGTTTTTCGTTTGTTTGGTGATTGGAAACAAATATATTCAATATTTTAAATGTATGCTTCTTATCTTGTTTCAGGACTTTGTCGACATAATCTTGTCAAAGACACAGCGTAAGACACCCACAGTAATTCACAAAAATTACAAAATATCACGTATTCGTGCCTTCTACACGCGCAAGGTTAAATTCACACAACAAAATTTTCATGATCGGCTTAGTCAGATTATTCAAGAATTTCCAAAATTAGATGATGTTCATCCTTTCTATGCAGACTTGATGAACGTTTTGTACGATAAAGATCATTACAAGCTAGCTCTTGGTCAGATCAACACTGCTCGACATCTTATCGATAAGTATGTCACATTGTTTTACAAAATCAAGGTAAATTTTACATAATATCTACAATTTCTCATAATTCCACATTTTTACAGTGTGGCAAAGGATTATGTCCGCTTGTTGAAGTATGGAGATTCCTTATATAGATGTAAACAATTGAAAAAAGCTGCTCTAGGTCGTATGGCTACTATCATGAAAAGGCAGGCTGCTAACTTGACATACCTCGAACAAGTACGGCAGCATTTGGCGAGATTACCCAGCATCGATCCATATACAAGAACCATTATCATATGTGGTTTTCCGAACGTAGGCAAAAGCAGTTTCATAAACAAGGTACTATCCAGAAGCTTTACGAACTAAGATAAATACAAAATATTTTTACTATAACCACAAACATTTAATGTTCATTCAGATTACACGTGCTGACGTGGAAGTGCAACCGTATGCATTCACGACAAAATCCTTGTACGTGGGTCACACGGACTATAAGTATTTGCGTTGGCAAGTGGTTGACACCCCTGGTATTTTGGATCATCCTTTGGAGGAAAGAAACGTTATCGAAATGCAAGCTGTCACAGCACTAGCGCATTTACGAGCAGTAGTACTTTACTTCTTTGACATTTCTGAACAATGTGGTCATTCTATTGAGGAACAAATGAAGCTCTTTGAATCGATAAAGCCGCTTTTCACCAATAAACCCTTGTTGGTCGTTGCCAATAAAGTGGATGTTCTGCGAATGGAAGAACTTCCAACGGAAAAACGTGCAATCCTGGAACCATTAGAGAATAACGAAAATGTCCCCCTTATAGAAATGAGCACCGTAACTGACTTCGGCGTGATGGATGTCAAGACGCAGGCGTGTGAGCGTCTCCTGGCTTTCCGGGTCGACCAGAAAATACGTACAAAGAAGGTACAAATAAATTTCCTACCCATTACAATACTCAACTCATTATACTTAGACATTAAATTTATCATAACAATTGAATTATAGGTTGAAGGAGTCTTAAATCGTCTTCACGTAGCAATGCCTACAGCAAGAGATACTAAAGTACGTGCACCATGTATACCAGAATCTGTATTACTGAAAAAGCAAGCTGCTGCAGCTAAAGCAGAAAAGGCAATAAAACGTAAACTGGAACGTGAAATAGAAGAAGAGTTAGGTGACGATTATGTCTTAGACTTGAAGAAAAACTATGACATTGAGGGTGACCAGAAGTATGATATTATACCAGAAATATGGGAAGGACACAATGTGGCTGATTATATTGATCCCGACATCTTTGAGGTACAACATTTTAAGAATCTTTTTAAAAATATTTACAAGCACTAACCAATTTACCTTTATTTCAGAAACTCAATGCACTGGAGAGAGAAGAAGAATTACGCGAAGAAGCTGGTGTCTACGATTACAAGATTCCAGAGTTGACAGAGACCATGAAAGAGATAGAACAACTGGCTCGACAGATCCGCGACCGCAAGGCAATAATGAAGGACGAAGCCCGCATTACAAAAGCTTCCACAAAACCAGTCATGCCGCGAACAGCAGGTGCTAAAGTCCGTGATCGTTCAGTATCGAAATTGCGAGAACAAATGGAAGATCTTGGTGTCGATATGGAAGACACTGAAGAAGTGAGTCTTTTTATGTCACTTAATAACTATGCCCTGTACATGATTTCACTGCAATGTACCCTTGTTTTACTGTTCTCAGGCACATTTCACAAAGACCAGAAGTCGATCTAGATCTTTGTCTCAGCCAGCGAGGAAGAGGATGCGCCTGCAATCCGAGTCTCAATCAAGAGCTAGAAGCAGTTCACGACCAGCAAGAGATGACATGGGTGTGAAGGATACTGCGGTAAGACTAAAAGCTATTTATAAATCGTTCTATCCTGTTTTTATTAATATATGTAAAATTTATGTAAATATCTTGTTTACAGATGAAATCCAAGCTGAAGAATATAGCACACAGGGCTATCAGAAAGAAGGTAGCAAAGAAGGGTCTCAAGGGTGAAGCTGATAGATTTATCGGTACAAAAATGCCAAGGCATTTATTCTCTGGCAAACGTGGTGTTGGCAAAACAGACAGAAGATAAGACCTTCATTTTACATCTTACTTCTTACTTCCAATCTCTTGTCCTGTCAAGATGCACATACATCGTATGCAGTTTTGGACTGCAAATACATAAAAAGAGTTTACATGTGTCATGCTCAATAAATTGGAGCCTAATCGCTCGGCGCAGACAATACTTTATTTAATTTACTATCCTTGACAAATATTAAAAAGATGTAAAATACCAAACCTATGCAATTTTTTTAGATTTCAAAATAACTAATAATAAAAATCAAAAACTCGCAGAATATACGGAGTAGATAAAAATTGAATTGAAATTGTAGAATATCGAAAATAAATTACGTTCAGATTGAAATATGAAGAAATAAGTGTTTGGAACATTAAAGTAATTAATTAAATCAATAAAGTAAAATATTACACTTAGAAATCGGAAATTCTGGCCAAACATATTTAGAAGTACTGGAAATTGCCGAAAATTGTGTGCGCGCAACATCGTCGCGCAGGATTCGGAAAGTGGGAGCAGGCGGAGAGTGGGGGGAGCGCTCGAGGCAGTGCCCGAACTCAGAGCGCTCATTCATCCTTGAGCCGGTCTCCTATACTGGTCTCTTGGAATTACCTCTCTCATCCATTTCCAATATTATTCTTTTTCTACACTTATTTTTTCTTTACTTCCTTATTTCTTTATATTTCATTCTTTACTTTCTTATTTATTTCTTCCCTTATTTCTTCTCTAGTTTTATACCCCCATTCCTTACTTTTCTGCATTTTAACCTCTTAAATTTTATCTTCCTTTATAACTTCTCGTTTTACTCTGTTCTCTCCCTCTTTACATTGTGCTTGTCTTACTTTTCCTATATGTATTTCATCTTTACTTCCTTATTTCTTTATATTTCATTCTTTACTTTCT